ACCTGATGATTTAGAGAGTTTCTCTTTTGAATGATATCGTTCCTCTCCTAATTTCCATGCAAATGCTCTAATCAGGATTTACAATTTCTGATCCTAATACTCCAGATGTCCTTAGGCGTTCTCTCATCTTACCGATTTTATAGAATTATACAGTTTCCTACAGCGATAAGGTGTTATTTACATAGCATATAGATCGTAGCTTTGTCTCTCCTCAAATGCAACGCCACCGCATAACGTTTTAATGAGATTCAATGTAACTTTCACAATCAATAATGGCCAGCAAGGGTCAGAACCAGGCAGGCACAACGCAGGTCATTTGCATAAATATCCTGTTTAGCAAATGTCCCCTTCTGCATCTCCAGTTGAAGTGTACAGAATTACTCTTAGCTAATTAGCATGGCAGCAGCATTCACATTTTCCTCCCAGCTACAACCTGCATAGGTCACTCTATAATTTAGCTTTCGTGGAGAAGTGTTTTTTTTTGTTGTTGAAAATGCCTACTTTAAACAAAATTGTCCCTTTTGTTGTATCGCAAATCCAAAGTATTATAAATGTAATGGATCTAATGCAAAACTAAGTAATGCTACTATTGCCAGATGTCTGTTTTAAGAATCAAGATTGAGATGAGAAATGTCAGGACAGCTATTTTGTTATATACAGTTAGTCCAGAAAGTATTCATAGCGCTTCACTTTTTTCACATTTTTTCAATGTTACAGCCTTATTCCAAAATGGATTAAATTAGTTAATTTCCTCAAAATTCTTGGCGCAATACCCCATAATGACCCCCACAATGACCCCATAAATGATTTTTTAAATTGTTGCAGGAGAGAGGAGGGATCTGGGGGTGAGAAGGGTGGGAAACTTTTTTTGAGAACCGGGAGGGAGATGCACGATTTCTGGGAGATTATAACACGTTTGCGGGCATTATGAGTCCTGCAAATGCATAGAGACTCCCGGAACTTCCGGGAGACTTGGGTTGTCTGAATATCACGTTTAACATCTATAGTGAGGGCGAAGCGTTGGTGCAGTAGGTAGTGCCTCACAGGAAGAAGGTCGCTGGTTCGGTCCTCGGCTCAGTTGGCGTTTCTGTGTGGAGTTTGCATGTTCTCCCTGTGTTCGCATGGTGTTGGCGTGTGTTGCTCCGGTTTCCCCCACAGTCCAAAGACATGCGGTACTGGTGAATTGGGTAGGCTAAATTGTCCATAGTGTATGAGTATGTGTGAATGAGTGTTTGTGGATGTTTCCCAGAGATGGGTTGCGGCTGGAAGGGCATCCGCTGCACAAAAATATGCAGGATTAGTTAGTGGTTCATTCGGCTGTGGCGACCCTGGATTAATAAAGGGATTAAGCCAACAAGAAAATGATAGTGACGACAACTGTAGTGAGACGCAATCCATTGGTACATCCTTGATAAACTGTCCGACATGCACTGCTCTCTGGAGCTCAGAGGAGCTCATGACAGTGTGTGGCTGTGTGTGTGTGTCTGTGTGTGTGTGTGTGTTTGGTCACGTGATGTGCGTTTTCAGCTAACGGAGGGCTGTTCAGAATGCGAGGTAAACACGGTGTGGATGTGGATTATTTTCATTCTAAAATGCGATTTTAACACTAAGACGTACAGTATTAGTGTAAACGGGGCCTAGTGCCTAGTTCATACTGCGTGATTTTAGCCTCAATTTTTGACTTGCCAACAGGTTTTGAGAAATCGCCGAAAAATATCTGAAATCACAGGCAAATCGGTGCTCGTGCACGTGAGTGACAATCACATATTATGTACTATCAAAGACGCGATCTTAGATAATCGCAGATGAGTCGCTGATGCCTGTGAAATATTTGGCGAGCTAAATATCTGGAGCTGTCAGCGATTCAAATCATGCTGTGTGAATTGAGTTTTGACTGAAAATAACATTGGCGATCGCCTACAGCCAATGAGAGAGCAGCATTCACTTCCATTTATTTGGACCCAGGAAATGTGGAAAAACTAGTGGAGGTTTGACAGGAGCACCCATGTCTGTTTGACGTTTCAAACAGAAAGTTAAAAAAGAAAGTTGAGGAGAAATTCCTTCAAACCCAGGTGAGCAAATATGTACATTCTCTACCCCATTAAAGGCTTCTCTCTCGTTATGTAGTTAATAACAAAAGATATACTGCGTGTTTTTGGCTGTGAGACGTAGTTTGGACGAAGCTGTCGGCGGTACTTCCTATTGTAAAGTCATGCAATGTGAAAGCCCCTGACGCCGATCCATCTTGCAGTGTAAACAAAGCAGCGACAAAACGTTAGCCCAGATAGCCATGCAGTGTGAAAACATCTGTGACACGACTAGTTTGAAAATCATGCAGTCTGAACTCGGCATAAGTGTGTATTTTTCGCGAGCAGGTTTGCGACAGGGGTGGGGCAGAGGATCAGCGATGCTGGCTCAGCATCGTGTTGTATATTGGCCATTGACAATGACATCGTCTATCGGCTCAACCCTACTGTCTATATAAGGTCCCAGGGTTGATAGTGCATGTCAAAGCACAAACCAAGCATGAAGACAAAGGAATTGTCTGTAGACCTCCGAGGCAGGATTGTCTCAAGGCACAAGGCTGGGGAAGGTTACAAAAAAAATTCTGCTGCTATTAAACTTCCAATGAACACAGTAAGTGGAAGATGTTTGGACCAACTGAAGTCTTCCTAGTGCTGGCCAGACATCTAAACTGAGTGATCGAAAGAGAAGGGCCTTAGTTAGGGAGGCGATCAATAACCTGATGGTTACTTTGTCTAAACTCCAGCATTTTTCTGTGGAGAGAGGACAATTTTACAGAAGGACAATCATCTGTGCAGCAATCCACCAAGCTGGCCTGTATGGTAGAGTGGCCAGAGGGAAGCCACTCACCTCCTGGAATTTGCCAAAAGGCATTTGAAGGACTCTCAGACCATAAGAAATAAAATTCTCTGGTCTGATGAGACTAAAATTGAACTCTTTGAAGTGAATGCCAGGCGGTTATGTTTTTCAGCAGCAGGAACTGGAAGACTAGTCAGGATAGAGGGAAAGATGAATGCAGCAATGTACAGAGACATCCTGATTTAAAAAAAACTGCTTCAGAGTGCTCTTGACCTCAGACTGGGGCGATGGTTCATCTTCCAGCAGGACAATGACCCAAAGCACACCGCCAACATATCGATAAAGTGGCTTCACAACAAATGTCCTTGAGTGGTTCAGTCAGAGCCCAGATCTTAATCTTATTAAACATCTCTGGAGAGATCTGAAAATGGCTGTAAACCGTCACTTCCCATCCAACCTGATAGAGCTTAAGAGGTACTGCAAAGAGGAATGGGCTAAAATTCTCAAAGACAGATGTGTCAAGCTTGTGGCATTATATTCAAAAAGGCTTGAGGCTGTAATTGCTGCCAAAGGTGCATAAACTATTGAGCAAAAGGCTGTGAATACTGATGTACATGTTTTTTTTTTTTTTTTTAATAAATGTGCAATGTGTTTTAAAAAAAAAAAATCTATTTTCACATTGTCATGATGGGGCAATGTGTGTAGAATTCTGAGGAAATAAATGAATTTAATCTATTTTGGAATAAGGCTGTAACACAAAAAAATGGAAAAATTAAGCACTATGAATACTTTCCGGATGCACTGTATGGATTATTATTTGGATATATGCTGTTATTGTCACCATCTTCAACTGCTTCATCTTATTTTGGTCACACTTTACAATAAGGTTTCGTTAGTTAATGTTAGTTTGATTTACTAACATAAACGAATTATGAAAAAAATACTTGCACAGCATTTATTAATCACAGTTAAACATTACTTATTACATAATTAAAACACAAATTTTAGCTTGTTAACATTATAATGCACCGTGAGGTAACATGGACTAACAATGAACAACTGCATCATCATTAACTAATGTTAACTAACATGGTGTATTTATTGGGGTCCAATTTCATTGCATGTAAAAGTGTATGTGACAGGTTTTTCATCATCATTTTCACCATCGTATTAGTTAGTGTTACTCTTATGTTAAAATATTTCTCGATAGATATACTATAAATATGATTTCATTTCTTTAGATTACAACTTGGTCACTTTATTTTGTCGGTCCATTATTGTCCGTTATGGTCTAATATTAGGAAGTCTACTAATAGTCAAAAGGACCATCAAAATAAAGTGTTACCTAAAACTTTTTTTTGTTGTTGTTTTAATAATAATAATAATTAAAATAATAATAGTTAAAATGCAGATTAAAAATAGCTTGTTGGCTGTGTTTTTACATTTGCACATGCCTTGCATGTATTTATAATAGCTTTTTAATATAGACCATTTCACTGTGGTCATGAACATTTCCTGCATGTTGTCAAACTATTTCGAAACTGTAAGAAACAATTCAATCATAACTTAACGTTAAAACAGCTGCTATAACATTATTTAGCAACATGTTTACCCTTTCAGATTCTAGGATTTAATGGAAATTAAAAATGTCAAACAGGATATATGCTAGTACCCTTGTTATTGTTCGCGTCCCTCAAAATGGTCAATAGGTCTAATTACATTATATAGTGACTTTAAACATTTCACTTAACGGCCAGATTTAAAGAGTGGACTTAAATCAGTGTTGAGACTAATTATGTAGATTTATAACACATTTATGTAATGCCAGCCTATGGTCTTCATTGCCTGTGATCAACTGCTTTGACATTAAAAGCAGTTATATAACCAGGTTTAACAGACTTAAGTTTTGAATTACAGAAAAATAAAAAAAATCATATGGGGTATAACCAAATTCTGTGTTATGGTGTTCTGCGAACCATGTATATATATTTTATTTTTCTCAACTTAAGTATCTCTTAGCTGCTTGTCTGCTTAAATATTTGTTTCAATGAGGACCATAATAAATGAATGGGCAATTGTAATATCATCAAGTGGATTTAATTCATTGTTTTTTTTTTAACCAAACAAATATGCAAGAGAAAGGATTTTGATTTCTTGTACAACTGGAGATCTTAAAAATGTGTAATGTAATTTATTATCTTAAGCCTTGAAAAGTAGTGGATTTTTGCTTTTAGTACATAGGTTTGTATGTTATCCCCTATGATGCTGTTTTTATAAACACCAAACTGAGAAAAGTCATTTGCTCATCTATGACTGCAAATGTTGTTTTGTGCATTACAAAGTCATCATTTGTTCAAACTCTTGACTCATGAATGTTTTCTCCATTTTAACATGTATTGCATTCTTTCTTCCAGCTTGTTTTATCAAAGAATTCCAGCTGCTTGCCTAACACTTTGGAATTGCTCCATCTTGCATTATGTATATTCCTCCAGCAGTGCAGTCCGACATTCAGCATTTATTCATAGAATTTAACACATGCATTTCAACTTTTAAAAATTTCTTTTTTAAAACATGAACGTTTCATGAGATTCAGTACACCTTTCATGGTCAGGAATGGTCTACAAAGGTCAGTAGCAGGCAGACGTAATGGAGGGAATTTACATACATAAAGTTCCGCCAATTTTTTCCTTCCGTTTTAAGTCTTATAATGAATTCAGCAGTCCACCCAGGCTATATTAGAATCATTTAGCAATTATCTCAGCATCCACTTGTATTTGTAAATGCTTTGAAGCCACTTTCCATCAGCATTATATTTACGGTGTACTGTCATTATGAGACACAACAGCAATTGTCAATAACAAACATTTAAATTCATCTTTAAAAAAAGCTTTTACAAAAGGTATTAAAAACAGAAGAAGAAAAAGTATCTTCAGAGTTCAAAACATCATTGATTGACTCTAGGCTGACTTCAGCATACGCCATATGCAATTTTTCAGCACATCACTTCACCCCTTCTCTCGTTTCTCTCGCTCAGCACCTCTTCTTTTATCTGCTGCAGGTCGGGTCTCCTTCTTCTCATCCGGTTCTGAGAACCTCCATCATGTGGAGAAGGTTGCTTGGGGCACACGATATGCCATCACGGTGTCCTTCACATGTGACCCTGATTTTGCCATTGATAACCCCTCATTGCCGTAGGATCCACCTGGTTTAAAGGGACGGATGAGTGACAGGAACCCTGGGGCAAACACAGAGAAAAATGATGAAACACCACTTCCATCTGTCAGGTTTACAGCATTAAAAAACCCTCTTATTTTCCTTTTAGAAAAATGTTTAGGTTTTTCTGTGCTCAAAAGGGTTTTGTCTCCCTTTATGCTTTGAATTTAAGAGGAGTTTTGTATTTTCAGGAGATTTACTTGAATTGCTGTCATTTGAAGCCAAGCATCTTCTGGGTTTGATTTTGGCTTCAGAAGGTGCTTCTTTACTATTAAGTCTTCTCTTTCCTGGTTGTGCTGCACGCTTTAAAGTCGTTTATATTATTATAGTTAAATCACTGTCTAGACAGGCAACACAAGTGGGATGATGGAACCGGTGTATGTAATGAAAACAAGGAGCTGGAGACCCGCTTGTCAAATATCTCCACTCGTGTCATCACCTAAAAAATGTTCTTTGTAGAATTGCTTTCCAAAGCCTTGCTCATGCTACTAATGACAGTTCAATGAATCCGATTCACAAAGAATTTTTATTCCTTCAGCCATGTCTCTTTACTTGAGTGTATGTTTTGAAAGAAAATACCTTTTTGATATCTTTGACATGAGTGTTAGGGTATTCTTCGAGAAAACAAGTTTACTTGATGTCTTTATTCTAATATCCCTTCAGTTTGCCAAGTACAAAAAGTTCATATAGCATACATGATGATCTGTTGTTAACACATACCCTATTGTACTGTGTTAGCTTTAATTACTCTGGCATTTTATGTGGTGAAAGTCAAGTTCAGCCAGTCTCAACATGTTTTTGACAGCTTGTTTTGAGATGTAACTGCTAATTGGCTTCTTTTTACACATTTAAGGCCCAAAATTAAACGCCTCACCTTTGAAGTGAGGTTCAAAACACACTGTTTTTGCTTTTCTCATTTAAAGCATTTGCAACTAGAGATATAATAGTGCATACATTTTTGCTTTTGTATGTATACTTAACAAATACAGTCTTATTTTAAACTCTGCATTTGCTGAACTTCTTTTTAAACTATTTTTGTTTTGTTGAATCTATATGAAATATACCCCATTATTGATATTTTAGGCTATTGATTTGTATACTGTATTACATTCATTAAGGTATATAACACAGTTCCTGTCTCATCTTTTGGATTATGTCCATTTTATTAAGAAATTCATATAGTAAATTCTGTTTTGACTCTTGTTTATGTGCATTCTCAGTTAAAATGCAAGTAAACGCAGTAATTCCCATTTCTTCATTAATAATTCTAACTCAAAATAAACTAAGAAACAGCTCACATGTCATGTAACAGCTCTATTGGTTCATCTGAGCATCTGTCTAAATATGCACTGTTAGCTAGTGGTGTAAGGGATCACAAATCTCACAGTTCGGATCACATTGTGGTTTTTAGTCATGGATTGGACTATTTTTCGGATCAGCCAAAAAGGGGAGGAGACAAATGTAATTTGCTTTACATTTATTACAAACACCGTACTAAAAGAAACGTTTACTTTCACCAAGCAGAACTTAGAACATGTGCTTTTATTAAAAATAAAATGAAGAACTTATCAGCTGAATAAAAATAAACTGCCAAATATTCATTAATTTGAAAAATTCCCTGTTACTTCTACTGTTGGTGATGATGCTACATTATAATTTGTACAACCCGCATTTATTTTTAGTCTTATTTTCAATAAATGATTCAGTTATTCGCTCATAAAACTTCATGTTTTATCGCTAGATGTGTCATTTTTGAAGTATTATTCAGTGGCATATTTTTGATGGCTGGTTGTCCCCATCTATTGGTTAAATAGTTTAATTGCTGCCTACAACTTGATTCTTTACCACAAACATCAGTGGTTTTATCTAAACTATAAACTTTTGAACTTTTGTTATTTGACTGTTTGAAACTTCATAATGAACTCAAAAGACTAAAGACTCTCTTTCTTGATTTTTGCGTTTTCAGATCTAAATGCAGCGATTCAAAGGATTAATAAACATACATTATGCAAATCACCATTATTCACCATTTATGTTGCTTGGGTGTTGAGATTCCGATCTTTTAATGATTATTCGGGCAGCTTACACGGAATGCATTAATGCAGGGTAAACAAATAGTGATAGAAAACACCTAAGAAACCCACCACATCTTAAATATCCTACCAAAACTTCCATCATTTTTATAGTTTGCAGGAAAGCCTAAATGCTTTCATACATGCATTTTGAATGATGCTAGAGGCGATTTTTCTGCGATCCTTACAAATTTAGGATTCTAAAATATGAAAAATGTATTCATATGCGGGTCACTTATGTTCTGAACCATGGGTTGTGATCTATACGATCAAACGTGATCCGCTACACCTCTAATGTTAGTGAATATATTCATTCTGCTTCTTTTAAATGTTGGTATAGTCTTATTCAAGGTTTTTTGTTTAGTTTTTATTTAATATGTTGTATTTTATTGTTAATTGTCACATTGTTGTGTTGGATATTATTAATAGATATCTTATTAGATAATAATTATCTAATAATATTCATTCATTGATTTTCTTATCGGCTTAGTCCCTTTATTAATCCGGGGTCACCACAGCGGAATGAACTGCCAACTCATCTAGCACGTTTTTATGCAGCGAATGCCCTTCCAGCCGCAACCCATCTCTGGGAAATATCTAATAATATAGTATTATTATTATCTAAAATTATGTAAGATTGTGTTTAGTTTAATGCATTAGTTTAGCTTGGATATTTTAAAAGAATTATCAAATAAAATAATTAATTATAATTTTGTTAGATCCCACAATTTGTGATTAACCGCCGTTTAAAAAAAAAAAAAAAATTTTTCATTTAGTTTTTACCCAGCGCTGACCTGAAAATGAACTAAACCTTGACATAAAAACAGAAGTACATACCACTATTGTTTTGTGTACTAGTATATCTTTGTATATATAATCTGTCAAAATATTCCCAATAGTGTACTTTCAGATGTGTGGTGAATTTAAGATAAGATAAATTAGCATGTGCAGCCTTAGTCCAGTTCTGAATGCGCTTATACATTTAATGCTTGTTATTAAAACGCATGCATCAGCTTTATATTAACATGAAGAGGGAGTCTCTTTGGACTCTTGTTTTCTGAGGCTGCTCATGTGATGATTCATGAGTTTTGGCTAATGCTTAATTTACTGGTTCTGTTGCATCACCACTAGCTTAATTGGCTTCTTTTGGTCTGCAATATTCCTTTATTTAGTTCCAAATTCATTCATGCTCTACATACTATAAGGCATTGACAAGTTTGCTACAACTCCTGCTAAATGAATCATTTCAGCTTTATGCAAAACAAGCCGGTTTTGCCAACAGCAATCTCAGGACAGATCCCCTCAGTGACTAGGCTGAACTGTTGATTTGTTGCCACTATACAATAGAGTGAAATCCAATACGTCCATGTCTTGTGGAGTTGATTATTTGTCTGTGATGGGCTGCCTTTGCTTGAGATGATTGGGTTAGATAAGATTGCTGCGTGTCATGCATAAATGTGTTTATTTTGAAACACTTGGAGAATGTGTATTATCTGTATGCATATCAGTCAAATGTACGAGGTGGGTAAGATTTTTTGTAATATTTGTATCATTTAAGCTCCCCAAGGCTGCATTTGTTTATACAGTAAAACTGCAATAAAGTCATTTCAATATAAACAAGCAGTTTCCTATGAATATGTTTCAAATGTTATTTAATATTGGGTAAAGCAAAGCAGAATTAAAGGTGAAGTATGTAAGTTTGACACCCAGTGGTTGAACAAGGTATTACACCCCTGGTTCAAAACACACACAAGAGCAGGTTGCCGGATTGACAACACCAGCAAAGGCAGGTTTAAATCGTGTTCCAAATAATAGCAAGGCCATGTGATAGAAGGCATATTTTCCTTATTACAATGAATTTTTGTCCTAACCAACACATATCTTGCAGCTGAACAACAGAAAATTGACAGTGATCAACTTAGGTACTCCTCATATGCTGTATTCACTAATAAATGTTAACAATGAGAGTTTTTAATGCCATTTTACATGGTGTTTATTGCCATACAACTGAAAGCAGCAGAAGATAGTTTAACTCAGATTTAAAAAAAAAAAAAACAGTTTGAACTTGAACTTTAGTACTGTGAATCAGTGCAAGTCAACACATATCAGTGATTCAGTGTGTACATTTATTAATGTTAAAGAGGTTTAATATGTATCAATTTGATTAAAATCCTTACCATTTCATTGGAGTGCAGTAAGTGCACTATTCTGTGCTTCTGATTGGCTGTATTAAAATTTATGTTGTGTAGGGTCTGGTGCAAACAGATAAATTGCTTATCACTGTAAATCGCAGCATAGAGTGTGTTGCTAGGACACAGAGATACAATGTGACCTGCTCACCTAATGTTTACGTTTGTATCTGCGTAAACTGTATCTATTGAATCTGTGTTTTATTTTTAGAGGCTGCTACTGTCCACTGGAAGTTGCAATTTCAGTTATGGCTGAATGAATCACACCAAGACAACTCAGGGTGCTGAAATATAATTGGCTAAACTGGCATTAGGCGTGTTAAATGACCAAAACAAAGACAGAAGTTCAAGCACGTAAATCACATTTTTAAAGCAGAATACCTGACAACAGCAATGTTTTCCAGATAAACAAGAACGTCCACTTGGCATGTTTCTTAAATATCTGCAAATATATTATGGTATTTTTATGCTTTAGAAGAGTCAAAAACGTACATACTGCACCTTTACCTTTTATTACTTCTGTCTTCAGTGTTATACGATCCTGGATTTATGCTCAAGATATATTTCTTATAAATTTAGAAAACAGTTGTGCTGCTTCGTACATTTGTACAATCTGTAACATATAACTTTTTAAAAGTATTTTAATTGTTTTTTTCATCAAGGTCAATTTAAATACGTTAGAAGTGATTGTAAACAATGTACAAAATATTTTATCTCAAATAAATGCTGTTGTTTTACAAATTTATGTGTATTCCAGAGTCCAGAAAATTCAAATATGAATCAGTAAATAAAATCAGCCCTGTTAATAATGATATTAATATGAAATAATTACCATTATTTATTAGGGCACCAATAGTGATTGATCACAATATAGCAGCAAATCAGCATATTATAATGCTGATTTATAATGCTGAATTATAATGTAATCACTAGGGCCAGAAGGAATTTGCAGACTTTTTTGCTATTTTTTTTTTTTTTTTAGTAAAAATCTGTGTATTTATACGGAATGATTTTGGGAATATCATAACTAAAACCTTAATATATGAC